AGGAAGGAAGGAAGGAAGGAAGGAAGGAAGGAAGGAAGGAAGGAAGGAAGGAAGGAATCACCTCTATTTTTTAAAAGACGACTTCTTTGGATTTAAAGGTGGAAGGAAAAGTGTAATGATCATGCAACACAGGAAAATAAAAGAAGGGAACACTTGCTTCCTTCCTTTTTTCAGCCACCAGTGCCATTCCAGTCAGGAAGGAAAGCGAGATCTTATCAGCAAACATTCACAAATGCAGGGACAGATACTTCATCAAAAACAATCTAGAAAATTATCTGCTTTTGTTTGTGGCAGATCATAGCTGCAATATACACCATTGTGGGTAGTCATATAATAATGAAGTAATAAATGTCATTATGCTTTAAGTTTCATTAAAAATCACTAGTGAGATATATAACCTTTTTTTCTTACAACACTTTGCGAGTGTTAACATACATTTGATTTTTAGCCAGTAGAGATATCATATATCTTGTAAATCATATCATAAACAATTTGAATTCACAAATATATATACATATTGATATAGATACATGATTTTTGAAGAAGCTTTAAACTAAACCTCTAATCCTTATCACATTTTTGAACACATATTTTCCAGAGATTCATTTATTTCCATTTGATTCTTTGAAATATACAATCCTGCTACACTTTGAGTATAAAATACAGAATATGCTCTGCATCACACAGTTCAGGAAGCAGGCTGAGGTTGGCGGCCTGCTGAGGCCCCTGAGAGCCAGGGATCTAAATTCAGCAAGTTACTCTCTTAAAAAATGGCAGCCTGAGATATTGCCTAAACTTAGTATTTTCGACTTTCCTTGGGTGCTAGGATTAGAAACCAACTCTGACAAATTTGAATCATCAGTTTATTTATTCTAGAATATGTGGAACAATCTGAGACGACAAGAGCAGGCTTGCATTGGTTCTCAGAAACAGCTAGAGCTGGTGAGCTGAGCACCACCAGGTATCTCTCATTGTGGCCACACTTCTTAGACAGCTTTATTTTCTCTCAGTGTGAGCCAATCTTCTCTGCATAGCATGATGCATGAACAATGGGCTGTCCTGGTTTTTAAACCTTAAAAGTTTTTCAATCAAAATAGTGTGACTACTTATCTTTATGTTCCAGGCTTAAACAGCTTGAGACTAGCTCTGATTGTTTCAGCATGAAACAAGGGCCACATTTTGGACCAATCCATTTGAGTTGGGAATTGTGGGAGATCATCATAGATTTGGTGGACCCAAAACCAGTCTGGGGTCAGGAATAACAAAATGTTATAGCATTGCAAATATTAATGGAACCTAATGGTTTGGGTGGTGGAAAGGGGACAAGTGTAACTCCCAGAAGGAAGAAATTGTTTCTTTCAGAAGGGAAGCATGTTGGACAGATAAAACTACGACAATATACCACAGCAAGCCATAGCTAAATAGTAGCGTATGTAATTAAAAACAAAGAGAAAAATAAGCAAAAGGCAAATAAAGTACAACAATTGCAAAAGGAATCAAATACCTAAATTTTTACTCAAAAATTCTGTCTGGTTCTGAGTGATAACAGATTTAATGTAGGGATGAATCCATGCACCAACTTCTATATACCATGCACAAACTTTTTCCTTTTGGAAAAATCCAACTTTCTTGAAATTGGAAAACAGAGGTTTATGAAACACCATTTGTGGATCTCCTCCCCCCATAGACCAGCAGAGAATTTGCTGTAAAGATCTGCTTGATAAGTCCATAATCTTGTCTTTCTAATAGAAACATCTCCTTTAAAAAAATTGACTCTATTATTTAAAATAGTTTTAGATTTACAAAAAACAAAAATTGAGAAGACTGTACAGAGACTTCTCATACACCTCACACCTCGTTTCCCTGTTAACATGTTACATTAGTATGGCGCACTTATCATTAATATACCAAAACTGATACATTGTTACTAACTAAAGTCCATATGTTAATCAAATATCCTTAGTTTTTCCCTAGCATTTTTCTGTTCTAGCAACCCATCCAGAATACCAAATTGCTCCAGTTGTCATCTCTCCTTAGGTTCCCCTTGGCTGTGACAGTTTCTCAGATTTTTCTTATTTTTGATGATCTTGACAGTTTTCAGTAATACTGGTCAGGTATTTTGCAGGGTATCCCCTTATTAGAATTTATCTGATGTTTTTACTCATAATTAGACCAGGGTTATGGGGTTTGGGAAAGAAGATAACAGAGTTAAAGTGCCATTTTTGTCACATTATGACAAGGATACATACTACCAACATAATTTATGACTGATGATATTGATCTTAAACACCTGACTAGGGTAATGATTGTTAGGTTTCTCCACTATGAAGTTACTTTCTAACCCTACCTTTCCATAGTGTTTATTTATTTATTTTTTATACTTTAAGTTCTGGGGTACATGTGCAGAACGTGCAGGTTTGTCACATAGGTATACACGTGCCATGTTGATTTGCTGCACCCATCAACCCATCATCTACTTTAGGTATTTCTCCTAATGCTATCCCTTCCCTAACCCCCCACGCCCTGACAGACCCTGGTATGTGATGTTCCCTTCCCTGTGTCCATGTGTTCTCATTGCTCAACTTTCACTTATGAGTGAGAACATGCGGTGTTTGGTTTTCTGTTCCTGTGTTAGTTTGCTGAGAATGATGGCTTCCAGCTTCATCCCTGTCTCTGCAAAGGACGTGAACACATCCTTTTTTATGGCTGCATAGTATTCCATGGTGTATATGTGCCGCATTTTCTTTATACATTCTATCATTGATAGGCATTTGGGTTGGTTCCAAGTCTTTGTTATTGTGAATAGTGTCACAACAATCATATGGGTGCAAGCGTCTTTATCGTAGAATGATTTATCGTAGAAACATTTGATTTGTCAAATGTTATTTCTGGTTCTAGATCCTTGAGGAATTGCGACATCGTCTTCCACGATGATTGAACTAATTTACACTCCCAACAGTAGTATAAAAGAGTTTCTCCAGCATCTGTTGTTTCCTGACTTTTTAATGATCACCATTCTAACTTACCAGTGATGATGGGCTTTTTTTCATATCTTTGTCGGCTGCATAAATGTCTTCTTTTCAGAAGTGCCTGTTCATATCCTTCATCCACTTTTTGATGGGGTTGTTTTTTCTTGTAAATTTGTTTAAGTTCTTTGTAGATTCTAGATATTAGCCTTCTGTCAGACGGATAGATTGCAAAAATTTTCTCCCATTCTGTAGGTCGCCTGTACACTCTGATGACAGTTTCTTTTGCTCTGCAGAAGCTCTTTAGTTTAATTAGATCCCATTTGTCAATTTTGGCTTTTGTTGCCATTGCTTTTGGTGATTTAGTCATGAAGTCTTTGCCCACACCTATGTCCCGAATGGTATTGCCTGGGTTTTCTTCTAGGGTTTTTATGGTTTTAGGTCTTATGTTTAAGTCTTTAATCCATCTTGAGTTAATTTTTGTATAAGGTGTAAGGAAGAGGTACAGTGTCAGTTTTCTGCATATGGCTAGCCAGTTTTCCCAACATCATTTATTAAATGGGAAATCATTTCCCCACTGCTTATATTTGTCAGGTTTGTCAAAGATAAGATGATTGTAGATGTATGCTGTTATTTCTGAGGCCTCTGTTCTGTTCCATTGGTCTACATATCTGTTTTGGTACCAGTACCATGCTCTTTTGGTTACTGTAGGCTCATAGTATAGTTTGAAGTCAGGTAGCGTGATGCCTCCAGCTTTGTTCTTTTTGCTTAGGATTGTCTTGGCTATATAGGCTGTTTTTTGGTTCCATATGAAGTTTAAAGTAGTTTGTTTTTTCTAATTTTGTAAAGAAAGTCAATGGTAGCTTAATGGGGATAGCATTAAATCTATAAATTGGGCAATAAGGCCATTTTTCAATATTGATTCTTCTTATCCACGAGGATGAAATGTTTTTCCATTTGCCTGTGTCCTCTCTTATTTCCTTGAGCAATGGTTGGTAGATCTCCTTGAAGAGGTCCCTCACATCCCTTGTGAGTTGTATTCCTAGGTATTTTATT